GTGGGGGGGGGGGGGGGGGGGGGGGGGGGGAGTGGGAAGGTCAAATCCTGGCCTACTGCAATCAGCAAGAGTTAAGCAGTAGACTTCAGTGCTTTACTGGGGCCAGGGCATTCTCTGGGAGTTCTGATTTACTGATCTTTCATCTTTAGCTATATTACTTTCACATAATTTGTCACTTAAATGTGTATAACGTTAAATTAATGAATGAAAAATCAAATGCTTTAGGGGATGTCAGTCTAAGTTATTTAATGTTTTTTGTAAGAATTACGTGTCAGTAATATATTAAATTGTACATATAGATGATTTCACTACTGTTAGTCCTGTTGTCATATTGAGCTGCAGTAGTTGGCTTTATTCATTTGTAGAATTAAACATCACTGTTTAATTGTTGTAAAATTTTATAAATCTCTTTGGGTTTTTTTGGTTGACCCAAATATAATGTAAGTCTTAATGACAAAATGAGTGAAAATGGATGTTAAACCAGTACGTGGCATTCGTAAATCTCTGTAGTAATAAGCGTGCACTGCTCAAGTTGCTGCTGCATGCAATTCATTCACTAGCATGAGTCTGTTTAGCTTTTGTAAAAATGCTTTAACTGTAAACTTAAAAAACAGAAGGTGTGGGTATGGTTGCTTAGAACAAGCAGAAGGATCCTATGTAAAAAACCAAACCAAACCAAACCAAACCAAACCACCTATCTAGGTGATTTCACCCCTAGATGCCAGTTTTAATGCCACTTTGCCTCAAATTGTGCATTTTGGCATTTTGGAGTTCTTAATGATAAAGTCAGAACATGCAAAGAATCTGTCCAAATAGTTAAAAATACTTGGTGACATGCATGTATACCTGTGATGCATACCAAACCACAAACAGGAACATTTCAAGGGACATATTTTGACTATACTGATTTTTAAAACTCCATGCTAAAGAGAAGGGACATGCATCCTTTCTGTAAGACTTTGCTCCACACAGAGTTGAAATATTACTTTATCCTGACTTGCCAAAAGTTTACCTGAAGCATTAGTACTACAGGACTCATAATAGTCAGATCATTAGATCTGTCACTATTATTTCTGTGGTGAGTATTCAGCTTTAATACTCCTCTTAAGTACCCATAGCGTGTCTGTGTGACAGAGCCCTTATTAACTGTGTTTCTTGCAATATTTCAACTGGAGAAATACAAGTGCACCACCACTTAAATTACTCTCATGCCAGTGTTTGGTTAGCCTTTGAAGAGCCGTTATACAGTATCTATGATTTTGGTCTGTGGTATTTAAAGTTTGTAAATGTATTAAAATAATTGAGAGAAGAATCTAAAAGAAATACAGGCTATTACCTGTTCCCTCCGCCCTGCTCCATGTAAAAGGTTTGCACAATTATTTAATAATATGGAACATGTTATACTTTATATATATAAAAAATTGCTTATTTAATAAAATTGAGAGCCATTGGATTATTTGTTTCTAGCTTTTTATTTTGTAACCCTCTTCAGGCAAGAGCCCCCAAAACAACTGTTGTAGTCTGTCCAAATTATTTCTCAGTATTTTTAGCTGATTTACTGAAAAATACCCAGATTCTGAAATCATACATAATGCTCAGATTTTCTATCTGTGCTTATATCTGTGAAGGAACAGGACAAGAGTTTTACTTTTCTTTAAAAAGCAAAGGAAAAAGTACTATTTAGGGTCCTGCTGTCTTGTCAGAATAACATCCTTTGTCAATCTCTGTATTACAGAAATTTTCTTTCGCTATTTAAGCAATCATTTCCCTTACTTTGGGGGAGGTGATACAATGTCATTAATTACCATTGCTTGGACTCAAACTGATTTAACTTGGGGGGGGGGGGGGCGGAAGTAAAAGCTAACAAAAAGAAAATTATGTACAAAGATCATCTCTATCTGGATTTGCTTGAACTTCTCCCTGTTACCATGTTTGCTCTCACAAGGGCCAGGAACCAGGTGATTTAGAAGACAGCAGAAAACCAATCAAAACCAATAACATACCTGTATTACAAAGCTGCTTTTTTCCTAATCCCAGGCCCTTTGTGCTTAATTTACATCCTCAAGTATATCACTACTTAAACCAAGTACTAATTGGAGTCCACAGGATAGTCTTACTGTTCCAGTTTTTTCCCCAGAACTGTAACCCTTGGGTGGAGTTGAAGTCCCTGTCAGAGTAGCTGCCTTTGGGAATGAGAAAACAGAATATTAAGAGACTTAGCCAGGAACAAATTATCCTAATAAGGTTCCACTACTCTGTCCAATTACTTACATTGAAAATAAATTCAAGAAGTGGAAAAAGCCAAAAGGGGTCACAGGCCACAAAAGCAATGGACCCAGGCCGTAGCTTCCTCAGCAATTCCTATTTGCATTATTTATTCCGTAGAGTCCCAGCTTCTATCTCCAGTACTTCCCTTTGGAGATGTTTTTTTCAGACAGTAAAAATCTGTCTGGAGAGATTAATTTAGAGTCTCAAGAAATCCTGCCCAATGCAAAGGAAAAATCAAGTAATTTAAGAATACATCAACATTGCCTTTCCTATCCTCACTCAGAAAATGCTTCTAACAAAGAAAGTAATTAGTATGTTGAAAATCAATTTTGCCAAGTAAACTTTTACCAAAGGGAAAAAAAATTATATGTAGCGCAGGATTTTGCCAGCATTACCCTTTCCTTTTTGAACTGTTATGTTTGCATTGACAGACCTCAGAAGTACCAGATACAGTAGCTGTTTAATTCCGCCCAGGAATTAATCAGATCAAACAAACACCAAGTTTCATAATCCTGAACAGAGCAATACGTAATTGTCTAGGTTTTACACTTGTGTTGTTCTTGTAGAAGGCCCTTCTTCACTTTCTAAAAATCGATACATTTATGTTTCTTCGCTCCAGCCATTCCCAACTTCTTTGTTTTTCCTTTATTTCAAGCCTGCTCCCCCCCTCTCCCACCAGTAACACTTTGTTTAAAATTCATGCGATTACTATGGCATCTCCTCAAGTCTTGGTATTCTTTTTTTAAAGCACCTGGCAGTTTTGTGCTTTTCTACAAGTCATCCACAGCACTGGATTTAACTATTTTATTTGACTCTGCAATTAGATCAATGACCAGCATTTTTATTCCATAATTCACTAGGTGGGGTAATGGCAGATACACAGGGCAGTAACTACAGCTGACCAAGAAACTGTAGTAACACCTGATTTTGCCAAGTAAACCTTTACCAAAGGGGAGAAAGTATTTGCCAGGCATCACACTTTGCTTTTTTAACCGTTATGCTTGTTTGCATCGACAGACCTCAGAAGTAGCAAATACAATAATTTGAGTAATGTCATACTCTACCAGATACAGGAATAACAAATCCTCTTCACTCCAAATTTCCTAAATAAGCTTGAGGAACTGCTGGGTAAAGGAAAAATTTCTAAAAATACTAGAAATGGGAAGGGCTTACATGAAAACTCCTTCCTAACAGAAAGAGGAAGTTTGTTTTCTTTTGCCTTAGCACTGCTTGTTTTTAGAGAAGTAAATGTACAACATATCATCCGGTTTAAAAAACTTCTGGCTCTCTGGTAAAGAGTAACTGCAGTGGAACAGGATGACAAAAATTAGAGCAAAGAAATAATACTTACATTATGGACATTTAGCTAAGCCTTTACTTGACAGACATCCCAAAGCATCCATGAAGTTGCTGTTCTAAACTTGCAATTCAGTCCTATCCAATGCGTTGTAATACGTCCCTTTTTGTATCTCTTTCTACAGAACAGTAGCACATAATGTCAGCAGTAGCTTTAAAGAACTCAAACCATTCCATTTCACAATGACGCACTGACATGTTCCTGTTCCTGTTTAGTTTGTAAATACTGCAGATTAGTAGACTGACTCATAAAAAGGTTCTGTCTCACCCTCTAGCAGATGCGCTCCAACAAATTCTTACTGAGGAGTCCTGCAATAAATATATGCTTAAACTCCTATTTTTTGACAGGTAATTGCAGAAGCCTCCAAGTTCCAAGGACCTTTAATACAGGGAAAGAAAAGTGAATTTAGGAAAAACGAGCTGAAGTCCTTTTTCTCAACAATTTTCCAACAAGATACTCAAGTCCATTTCTGCACGAATCACACTAGCTCTCAGCAAAGATCACAGTTGAGTTATCAACCTCAGCAAAATCATGAATAGAAATACCATCAAGCAGAAAACTTTAATTAAAAAGAGATACTAGTGGCCTCAAGACTATAACTTGAAAAAAAATGGTGAGAAAAAAAAATTTTGAAGATATTTATGCAGTACAGTGCATTCAACCATGCTATAACTAGGCTTGATCCCTGAAGCTTCATGTGAAATCCTAGCTAGATGAAAACTGTAGCACAATCTTGTCCTGGCAAAATCATGCAAACTCGTACAGGACAATATTAGCGTCACTGAAATAGGAAGGGCTCAGTAGTCTGGCTAACAAGGACCAGAGGACACTTCCCTGAATATCTAAGTGAAAGAGGAAAAACAGGATCTAGAAGGAAGGTTTGCCTTCAGTCAGTTGTATTTATTAACCATGAAAATAATCAAGGAACACTGAGGGATTCCGAAGTACTCGTAACTGTATTGGGCAACCATCAACCAGAGCTAAAAGTTCAGCACAGTGGTTAAACAAGACAATGGTTACTACACATGGAACTTAAAACACACCACCTTTATAAAATACTGATTTTACACGGTAAAAATCAGTAAATCTTCACAAAAAAAAAAATATCCTGGTGTGGCTAATTCCGTGTCACCATTACTAGTTCTTCTGTGCCACTTTATCTTGTGCAATACTGAAAGTCACAGAGCACTCTGCTGTCTTAGAAAAGTTGAAGGCCACTTTTTATTTTATGGAAGTCATTCTGGGTCCATAACAATCCTCCTGTCACAGGAATATTCAATTCTGCAGAGCTGCAAGAGGAAGAGAAACAAAGCACATAAGCACTAAGCCAATTTAGAAGCTCATATCACCAAAGTAATTTTGACAGCACTTTAAACTTGTTACCAAGTTTTATTTCCAAACCAAAACGTCATTTCTCATTTTTAGTTCTGAACACCTAGCTGCTGGAATGTCCTTAGTTCTTAACTGGTTCATTCAAGAGACGCCAACAGTCCCGAGGTGCCAAAGGCACGGAAGCACAAACCAAAGGAATGGTTACCAGTTACTAACAATTGTGAGGGAGACACGACTTCAGAAATAACCCCACAACCATTTTCATCTGAACCTCCATCTGTCCTTTGCAGCTAGGAATACAAGCTCATCAGGTGAAATGCCAACCCAGCAAGGAGCTGACATGAAAACAAAAATATTACAATGGCTATACGTTCTGCACATGGAAACCAGACATTCCTACAAAGAAGTCACAGAAACTCGTGCATTTACAGAGACTCTAAAGGAAGTTGTTTGCTGACACCCACAGCATGCTAAGTAATTTCTAATTTTAGAAGGTGGCTCACTCAAACAGGCGTAAAAATCCCTTTTTATTGCAGAAGTTACCCAGTTTAGGGCTGAGTCCCAGGAGATCCCCCAAACAATGACCCATTTACAGGACTCGCTGACACAGCACACAAAGGAACAAGTAAGATTTTATGCAGTGTTCCGACACATAAGGCACTGTCAAACGCAAGGCTCAAAGAACAGTTGGAGAACGTATGTAAACCTTGCCCTACCCAAAGCTTTACTATGTGAAGGAACTTAAATCACTACCATGTTGTTAAGTACGTCAGGTAAGCGTTTGTTTTATCATTTTTATTCATTTTATGAGAGTGGTGAAGGTAAAAGCTAAACTTTATCAATAAAACAAATCTTTAAAGGATCAACTTGAAACTTGACATTGTGAAGGAGAAAAAGGGAAAAAATGGTTGTCTTGTGCATGTTTTTCACTTCGCCCAAGGAGAGCTCATGTACTTCTGGCTACAACCTAGCACCCTCCAGGATAAGAATATATTCCCTGCCTACTGGCTGTCTTCACCCTTCGGCACACATTAACCATCCCTCTGACCTACCTGCTTATGCATCTCATCCTTAGGACCACAAAATCCTGTCATTATCCATGACCGTTAAATGATGAATCCTGGTTTTGAACTGTCAGTGCAACCACTTGATGCAATCCTTAGAGCAATTGCATGTCAACAACTCCACCCTCCGAAAACTTTCAAGTGGTCAGTATTTGCCAAATTTGCCCCTGCCGTCAGGTAAAACTGACACTAGGAGTAAACAAAAAGCACATAAGCTTATCATAAAACCCAAAATGTCTGCCTGAGGATGACAGCAGCTACTCAACACTAAACACAAACTTTGCCAACACACACACACAGCATACACCAGAAAACCCACCGAAGAACACAATCTTTTGGGATCAGGGAGGAATGAACTGCAAGCTTTTCCAAAGTATCCAAGCATCACAGGAACTTATGTCTTATGTTAAAACAAACCCAAAAACCTCTGAAGGCAGAAAATAATTTCTACAAACAAGGCCGAGATGTTTGGAAAGTTTTATTTATATAGCAACTTCAAGCTATACACAAAAAACCTCAATGCTTTTTCCAGATGTTCAGTACTGGAATAACTGGCTGTATAGCAGAGGCTGCTGTTCAAACCTCCTCAGAGACAGATAATTTCCCCTTTAAGGTCAAAACATCTCTTAGACAACACTCCCTGCTCAGATGAAACACTTGTAGAGGCCTTGCAGACAAAGCCAACACACAAACATCACAGCCATCGCACCTACTGTAAGGACCTGATGGTCTTCCTTTGGCTGTTGGAAACGATCCTGCATTCAGCCTGCTAATGGGATAATTTTTCCGCCCTTGTGATGTGTACTCCTCATCATTCAAGACTTCACAGACCTGCTGTCATTCCCAGGACAGGGACTCAGAGGACAGACACTGACATAATCCTCTGCCTTAACTGTACTGTGTGAGGGTTGCCAAGAGCAAGCTCATCACAGCAGATCAACCGCTGTTCAGGAGCGATGAAACTAGGGTATGGCCAAGCAGAGTAATAGCACTTCATTACTTGGGATTCAAGGGAGAAAGTACCTTTTCCATAATCAGTGCTACTCTGTCCCCCAGCCACTTGCTTGCCATGAGTTTTTTCCAATAGTATATTTGCAAAGGCAGCTAAACATGTGACAATGGCATATGGCCTCAAAATTCACTGGGTTTGGCTGGATTCAGCTCTTTTTGAACTCTTTTGCTTCTCTGAGATTCGGGCTATTCTGTTTTGGAAACAGCATGCTTGTCTCTGGGAAGATCTGACCGCAAACCAGAGAAACTGTGTGTAAAAAGTTCCGTGAGAGGCCAAACTGTGGCAGGCAGAAAAAAAAGGAGCAGGGAAAGAATAAAAAATTACTCATCCAGCAACCTTGCGGGGGAAAACTTTGTAGATAGCTAGGCTGTTGCTTTCAGCATAGGGAAGGCACATTCTCCAATTTTCTGAACCTCCAGAAACAACAACAAAAGAAGAAAAAGAAGTGAAACAGGAATTGAGATGGGCTCTTGATTGTCTCTCAAGATTGAGTTCATCTTTAAAAGGGAATGGAGGTTGTCAGCTGAAACTTATTTTTTCTGGTATGTAATCAAGTTTTGTTACAGATTCATAGGAACTACTAAGAAGTGCAGACCTCAAACGAGGCAGGCAGAATTCAGGCAGATGTTAAACAACATAGATTAAATGCATCATAAGATCACCAAGCACTCCACTCTCATCTGTGGACCTGGTGAATTAGGGCTGCAGCAAGAGGTTCTGCTTTTGTTACATGACTTGCCCAAAGCCCTTTTTCCAAATTAATGTCAAACTCCATGCTCCAGGAAACCCTTTCTGCAGTTCATTACCTTCATTTGCTTTACGTCTGTGCAGCCAGAGAGAAAGACAAAAGATGGCCACGGCTTTTAGAAAGGGCATGTCCCATTGTCTACGCTGCAGATGCTTTTTCCAAGCATCTTATGGATATTTTCAAAGTAAAGCATCAAATTTTCACAACCTTTCATACCATACTGTGGTACCACTACAGTGAGCCTGGCAGAACAGCTCTCTGCAGATAGAGAAGTTGGAGGGTGGCATCAAACAAGAAGTAAAAAGCAAACATCCCTTCTGGAATAGCCCATGCAAACCCCTTTTGAAGAGGAAGCAGAAAACCCACGTAGCTGCCATACAGTGGACAAAGTTTCTACATGGAAGAATACACGAGAAGTAGCCAGGAAAATCTGCTTCCTTCTGCCTCTGCGCAAGTCAAGACAACCCTTCTGATGCCACATGGCCTCTGGCACACCGAGAAGCTGCTATGCCAGGGAAGTAAGAATGAACCAGCTGCTGTTGTAACACTCCTGATGAAACTTGGATTGTTTCCAGGCAGAGCTACAGGAATAAATCAGGTTCTCCTCCTTTTTATTTTATTTCACAACAGGTTTTCCTCATGTTTCTTTCTGAGCTTTTTTCCTTGGCCTCCTGCCAGGCTGTGATCTGAGTGGCAGAATCTGTCTGCCTCTTTCACCCACCCAAAGAGATGCAGAAACACGTGCTACTTTTGGCCTGGTATGTGCTTTTTCATTTTCTACATGGGTATTTTCTAGTAATACAAGCTGCACGACACATTACACCGTTCAAAAAACAGCAAACCAGAAGCAGCACATGAGGAGAAAAAGAAAACCACCTCCTTGGCTGAATAGAGATGAAGCTCTTGCAATGACTCCTCTCTGCATCTTAGGCCACGTGGAAAGCAATTCTTGGGGGTAGAGGGGAAAGCAACACCCGCTGGCTTTTTTCAGAGTCTGCACAATGAAGCACCAAAATCTATATAACTGGCTTGCAACTTTTTAGTCTGCAATCAATATACAATCGGACCTCCCCATGACTAAATCATATTCCAAAATGCAGTCCAGGCATCTTCCTCCAAAGGAACCCAGTGCTACTGATAAGGGAAGGAAACAATAACTGGTCAATTAGTTTGATCTAGATGGTTGTAGAAGTTGATCTACGTCTCTAGCAATAAGGGAATAGGTTTGTCATGAGAAATGGTTTGTCATCTCTCCCTGCTCCTGTTCATGCCTAAATACAACGTGAGGAAACACGCCTCCGCACGAGACAGACTCTTCTTTTGACGGACTATTTGCTGCTTGGGACCCACTTCGTGAAACGTTTACTGGCAGGCCTGGAAAGAAGTCTGAGTCACTGAGGTGAAAGGACACCATACTACTTGCTAACCTATGAGAACTCTACCATTTAATGAAAATAAAAGATATTTAAAGATTTTTTTTTTCCCAGTTCAATCACAGATCAAAAGATCTTCAATTCTGAGGCCAGTAGAGAAATTATCATCCTTTCAAAAATGAGAAAAGAAAGACATATCTGTTTTTCTTGCAGGCTGTAAGAGGTCAAATACCGTTAGGTGAACAGAAGTTGCACAATGAAATGAAATCCACAGCCTAAAGACTCCCGTATTTGCTCTCTGAGTAGCCAGAACATGGTGTTTCAGAAGACTGCACAAAACCAAACAGAAACAATAAAATATGTGTATTATAAAGTTGCTTTTTTCCTAATCTCAGGCCATTTGCGGTTAATTTATATGTCCTCAAATATACTACTCCTGAAAAAAAGTACTAGCTAGATTCCACAGGATAGTCCTACTGTTCCTACAAACCCCTCAAATTAGTTTTCATTCTGGACAAAAGTGGTTACATGGGAAGGCTTCTTTTCAGTTAGTTTTTAGGTTATTACGAAAACTACTTCAGCAGTTTATTGCTATTATCAGTTTTCATTGAGGAAGCAGGAAGAGAAATGAGCAGAGATATTTTCATAGAATCACTGAGGTTGGAAGAAACCTCTGAAGATTATCTAGTCCAATCCCCCTGCTCAGGTTGTCCAGAACAGGCTGCCCAGGCTCACATCCAGTCTCCAAGGATGAAGACTC